TGGTCATAGATACTTACTGCTCATATATACTTACTGCTCATAGATACTTACTGTTCAGAGTTACTTACTGCTCATAGATACACACTGTTCGGAGTTACTTACTGCTCATAGATACTTCCTGTTCATAGTTACTTATTGATCATAGATACTTACTGATCATAGTTACTTACTGCTCATAGATACTTACTGTTCAGAGTTATTTACTACGCATAGATACTTACTGTTCAGAGTTACTTAATGCTCATAGTTCTATTAATCGTCAGATTGTTCAGATATATAAATATATATATATATATAGTCCACCGATTCGGCATGCTCCGACTTATATACTAGTAATATTATATAGAAGAGTAACCCCATACTTCCATTCAAACAGCTTAAATTTGCTCCAAAACAAATGTCGCACATCTGTGCATATGATTCCCAACTAGTTCTAACATCCCCGGAACGAAGTGACTGCTGCCGGCCACGTCTCAGATATGTGTTGTGTTACAAAAGTTGCAAGTCATTGTTTATTAGTGTTCAAAGTTAGTAACTGATCAAACATACTTACTGGTTATAGATACTTACTGGTCATAGATACTTACTGCTCATATATACTTACTGCTCATAGATACTTACTGTTCAGAGTTACTTACTGCTCATAGATACACACTGTTCGGAGTTACTTACTGCTCATAGATACTTCCTGTTCATAGTTACTTATTGATCATAGATACTTACTGATCATAGTTACTTACTGCTCATAGATACTTACTGTTCAGAGTTATTTACTGCGCATTGATACTTACTGTTCAGAGTTACTTACTGCTCATAGTTCTATTAATCGCTCGATTGTTCAGATATACAAATATATATATATATATAGTCCACCGATTCGGCATGCTCCGACTTATATACTAGTAATATTATATAGAAGAGTAACTCCATACTTTCATTCAAATAGCTTAAATTTGCTCCAAAACAAATGTCGCACATCTGTGCATATGATTCTCAACTGGTTCTAACATCCCCGGAACGAAGTGACTGCTGCCGGCCACGTCTCAGATATGTGTTGTGTTACAAAAGTTGCAAGTCATTGTTTATTAGTGTTCAAAGTTAGTAACTGATCAAACGTACTTACTGGTTATAGATACTTACTGGTCATAGATACTTACTGTTCGGAGTTACTTACTGCTCATAGATACTTTCTGTTCATTGTTACTAACTGATCATAGTTACTTACTGGTCATAGATACTTACTGATCTTGACTCCTTTTGCGTTGCAAACTTCTGACTAAAATTATAATACCTTGCAAGGGTATAACAAAACAGAAAAGAATATTTTTAATAACGGAGAGAATAAAGCAAACGATTTAGATTTATATAAGTTAAGAGGAGAGTTGAATAAACCAAGATATCTTCTATAACTTTACGTTGCTTGATAAAACAAGTTAATTATGGTGACATATTCTTGGGTTTTTAAATAAATTAGAAGCCAAAATCATAGATAAACCCGATGCATATCATTTAATTAATTCAAATTAAATTAAAGATAATATAGAAAACTTATTTATAGCAGATATTCTTATTTAACTCGTAAAGGATTTAAAGGATTAGTATTAATTTTATTCAATATAAAATATATAATAATATATTGCAATAACATATTCGAAAACGATAACAATTACTCAACTTCCTACCTTCCAACTTTCGCTTGTGAGCTCTTCGCCTCCAGGGGCCAATTAAATCTAACAATCTTCTCGTGTTTTGACTTTAAACTTCAAAAGTTCTACCCACACTTCCTGGTGCGAGGCATTGTTTTGTTTGACTTTCGTACATTTTCCATTTCCAGCAGAACCTCTCTTATACAATCTATACAATTTACATGCTTGAATTCAGATTTCTCCGTATTACTTTGGCTTTAGCTTTGGGTCGTCATCAACGTGAAACTTGTCGTCATCGTCAACTTGTTGCGCCCATATTTGGCAACAGATTCAAATCAGCGAGGAGCGACGTCTCTTGATCGTTTTATTTTATTTTATTTTATTCACTCTATCGACAGCTAATATCTTGTTTGGACTTGGTCCGTCTGTCTAGTGGCTGGTTGGCGTTGTTCTGGGCCTTGGATTACTCATGCCGACTCATGTTTGGTATCTGCCAGCGATAAATGGGTGCCAAGTAACGCCAGGTTTTAATGTGGGGGCGTTTTTTCTATACTTTACAAATAGGATAGATTCCATAAATGTTTAAACATACCTTGATGGAAATATTAAATCCTAATAAACACTTGCCATAAACGATGGTTTCTATTAATAATTTACCTTAAAATTATTAGTAAAGGGTTTGAAATGCAAGTAAATATAATATGATTTCACATCTTAATATGGAATTATATACTTAAAAAAGTTATTCATCATTAAATCTCTTCCCATCTTTACTTTGCTATTAAAACGCTTCTTCTCCATAAAAGAAAATCTTTTATAGATTTCCGCCTTGTAAAAACTATGATTTTAAAGTCATACCTCAATGGCTATCGTTAAATGTTTAAAGTGTACTATTAACCATTTAATTACATAAATTTCGTGTGGAATATTAAATAAATCAGCATTTGCCGTATATGGAATATTATGTTATGCATGGATTCCATCAACTTGAATATGAAGTCATACCTTGGGGGCCACAGAACGTGCAATTATCGAGTTACAAGTGAATTTATTTTTATTTTTCCGTTTTCCTTCTGCTGATTATGGTACTGGTTTCTTATTGCTGCCACTGCATATCGGCAGAGTGAGCCATAAATTACATAATTGCCGTGTGTTTATCCGCTGGATATTGCAACTGTTTGCAACTGGGGACACAATCTCGATGGCCTGGCCTTTGTTTCCAGTTCGGTTGGCAAATGTCTTTGTTTCAGAGTCGGAGTTGCTGAAGATACGATCTCTGGCAAAGTGTAACAGACCAAGAGAGCGATCGATCTTTGTCCACAGATTGATTTACTATATATTCTTCTATATACGCGAGACAAGTCCATTGTTTGTTTACCCGACAGACACACGATTTGCATGATTAACCACTCGATAGAGGTGGAGACACCCGATAGAGTACGTAGCTTATTAATTTTCATGTTTAACTATTTGTTTTTTTTTTGCCTTTGTATGCAAATTTAAATGGAGAATGCAATGAGTATAGCTTGGAGATATAATATATAATAATATATACAAATAAATAGCAATTTGTTCAAGCCCAAGAGGTTTTCCTTGTTTATTATAATCTTGAATATTTTCCTGACACTCGAGAATGCGTCAAAGGGATATTATAAGATACAATACAAGACTTTAAGATTAGAAAGCTCAGAAAGTCAACTAAAAATAAAGCACCACTGATCGCAAGAGACCTCACTTTAGTTTAAAAATGATTTTGAATATTAATAACTTCCCATGCCTAAAGTATTTAAACTCTTTGTTGAAGGTGTTATAGCCTGTTTTATTTCCCATAAATAAACCTCACCTTTCTGTCAACTCTCTCGTTGAACTGTGTCAATATATGCTGGATAAATATCGTATATTATATTTATTGTTTGTGCGTAAGTTCGCTGAAATCCTCAACTCAAGGCGTTTTCCCAAACTGTGTAAACAGCTTCAGAGCCCGAGTTCCCAAGTTTTTTACTCAACTAATTCCACTTGGCCTCAACATATTCCTCCCGCTTCCCAGTATCGGATTTCAAACGCAGCGCCATTGGTTTTGCATGTGCACTTGCTTCTGAGATAACAAATTGGAATGGAATTGAAATTCTATATGTTTTCTCAGGACCGACCCCAAAAAGGGGGAAGCAAACAACAAAGTCGAGGGTCAAGCTTTTGCTATTGTAGAATGCGGTTTCTGAGGGTTGGTTTCTGGTGTTCCAAATGGGCGGTGGGTGGTTATATACTATATACACTATATATATAGAGCTGAATGTTGAGGAGGTGCCATATCCGATGGGTTAAAGCCGGGAGCTGGCAACTGGCAACGATTTCGATTCGGATTTCGATTCCGGGTGGATGTGAAGCATTGACGTCATCTGGGAGCAGCGATTGTTCATCGGTCTTTTGGGGAAATAAATAACTTAATTTAATGAAATTGTTGTTTATTTCTCTATATATATATAATAGCAGATAAATCTTTTATGTATATAGTTGAAAGTTTATGAATTTCTGGGGTGCAGATAACCTACTTGAGGCATCTCTTAAAAAAATTTAAAGACAAGGCTAACTACATAAATGTAATTTGATATTTGAGTTCAATTGAACTAGATGTAATTTAATTTATTCAAAGCTGTCAATCTTCATTTACTGGTAGCGTTTTATTAATTAACAGAATATGTAATTGTAACATTTTGGACAATTTTAATTTTTGAAAATATGCCACATATTTTGTTTCGTTAAAAAACTCATAACTAAGAAAAAATAACATTAATTTGCATTCGGAAAACGTTTTTATGCTAGTTTTTATTACGTTTAAAATCCGCATACTCAATTTAAAATTTTAAAAAAGTTACATTTTTGCCAATATTCGAAAATTTTAACGATTAAAATTTTAACAAATTTCGAAAAATTGGTTTTTCTCCAAAATATGCTTAGATAGATTCGCCTGTTGATGCTGGTCAAGAATATATAAAATTTATAGGGTCTGAAATGATTCCTTCACTCAGTTTCAAGCTTCTGACTTAAATTATAATACCCTTACGAAGGGTATAAAAAGCCAAACGACAGTAATTTATTATTGAATTATATACATACGTTTCCTGTCTCGCAAGCCCGGACTTAATGCTTAATGAGACTTAAGTTTTTAATATTTGCCAGTACACAAAATTTAATAAAAAGTTAGCTGCAGTTAAAGGCACTGCAATAAAATAAAAGTAAGCAAATGCAATAATTTTTGCCATGTGTGTGTGTGTGTGATTGTGTGTATTTATTTGTAGTTGTTGCCTCGGTTCCGTGTGAAGTAATTCATGATTTCTCTCTCTTATTTTTTTGCAGCTTAATTGTGCAACAACAACAGCAACAGTGGAGTCTCAACAATTGGCACAATTGGCGATAAATCAGCAGCAGCAGCAGCAGTAACACAATAAAAACAACAACAAACCCCAAGATAGCGAAGCTACAGAAGAAGTCAGTGTGAACTTTTAGCAGACGCAGCAGAAAAAAAAACAAAACAAACAAAAAACGAAATAATAGCGACGTTGCACATGAAGAAAGGGAAAACGAATAAATCTACGAACAACGAAAACAACGAGCTGGAGTGAGATAGCAGATCTGGCCCTCATTAGCATTCTCAGATATTCAAGAGCAAATGAAGAGGAAGCCAATGCACCATATAATTAAAGAGAGTGAACGGCAGGTGTAGTGGTAAGCAGTTCTGGAGCAAGAGGAGAGTTAAGCTCGAGAGAACCAAAGGATCTTGAAATTCATCTAAGAGAAAGCAAGCAGTTCGAGGATTAATCAGCAGGGCAAATGTGCAAAGCAGTGTAAGCAGACGCAACGATTGACTCAAGAGAGAGCAGCCTTAAAAGCAGTAAGCTCAAGAGAGATCCAGCTGTCGTGCACTTAACACTCTTGAGTATCGATTTCACAGCCTGCCACTGTTGTTCTTGTTGTTGTTCCCAGTTGCCAACACGCGCTGACAGTTGACAATTTGACAGTTGGCAGCTGCAGCGGGGAGAGGGGGACGTGGCATCATCAGCATGTGGCCCTAGACAAAAAACAACGGCAACAAAAAACTGCAAAGATAGCTAAAAGAAAAGAAGACAAAACAAAAAACAAGGAGAGAAGAAGGAGGAGGAGAACCACTTGGCATTCAGCAGGCAGCGGAGCATAACCAGGCTTGGTTTGGGCCCAGACCGGAAAGCGTCGATGAGTTGAGTGAAGCCACTCATTCCACTCTCCACTCACTCCACTGTCCACTCCTGGAACCCCTATTCCCCCGCGATGGATGCATCGCCTTTGTCGCCGGAACAGGCACCCGTCTTGGTCACCGGCCGCTCGCTGGACCAGCAGGTGGACGCCAGTTCGCCGAATCACTCGAACTACTCGAATCTCACCAATAGTAGCAGTGGCAGCAGTGCCTGCAGTCCCTCTGCCTGCTCCTCCTCGTCCTCGTCTTCCTCAGCGCCGCAGTACAGCGAGGATATACGCCGGGCGGCGGCCGCAGTGCGTCCTGCTCCTGGAGGAGCTTCCCAGCTGCAGCATCAGCCTGGCTCGACTTCCGGTTCGGGTTCGGGTTCAGGATCAGCCAAGACCTGCGAGCTAGACTTGGGTGAGGAGCGTGACACCTTTTCGCCCGTCTCCAGTCCCGACTGCAACGGAGCTGCCGTCTCTGCCGCGGATGTGCTGCCCTCGGGCAGTGGCCTCACCGTGGACAATAAGATCTATGAGGGTGCCAGTGCCAGCAAGGTGAAGCCGCCCTCCAAGGAGGAGAAACAGCGCCAGAACGAGGAGATCGTATGCATGGAGACCTCGACAGTGTCAACGGAGACTGGTTCCTGGGAGTCCATGTATCCAGCAGCCACCACAGTTCTGGCACCAGAGGAGGAGCCGGAGGAGAACACAGAGAACACGACGCCTTCTGTTTTTAAGGGCATCACCGCCAGCTGCTTGCTGAGGGATCTGGAGAAACGGGATCAGCCGCTATCGACCTCCGGTACCAGTGCTTGCTTCATAGACGCCTCCTCATTGAGGGACGAAGATGAGGTTTTGTCCTTTCCCAGCCTCGATGGCCATGCTCACGAAGAACCAGAGCCACAGCAGGAGGAGGTGGAGCCAGAAGAGGCTGAGCCCTCGCCCACACAGCAGCTAGAGCAGTTCCACAAGGCTTTTGCCAGGTGCAAAGCCGGTCGACAGAGTCAGGAGCAGGAGGAGCAGCGTGAGCATGAGGAGGCAGCCAAAGAGGCGGCAGAGGAACGTCCGGCAGCGCCCATGTCCGTTCCCTACAGCTTCCAGCACAATGCCCAGCATTTTAGCGTGCATCCACTGGGCAGCAGCCCCAAGTTCACACACCACCAGCTCCAACATCACCAGAGTCAGAGCCAGCACCATCCCGATCTCAGCTACACCACAGACTACTCCTCCAGCAGTCCAGCTCCGAGTCTAGTGTGGTCGGAGCAGGGCAGGAGCCACCAGGGTGCCTCGGTGTCCGCTTCGGCCTCAACGCCGCACAACTCCATGGTGCACATCGAGCCGGCGTCCGCTGGGAGTAATAACTCGTCGATCCACCGTGACTATACACTGTCTTCCTCACTCTCACATCACAGGGACTCGGGAGCTTATTGCAGCGATGCCACCGACTCGCCGCTGCCCCTGCCACGAACTCCCAAGCGCAGCTCCAAGTTCGACGAGGCCAATCCCATTGTCTCGGGCGGTGCGTCCATCGAGGACTTCCGGGAGAAGCAGTGCGAGAGTCCAAGCATCAAGAGGCGCACGGACACCTGTCCGATTGTTTCCGGGGGCTTCGTGTCCCTGGATTTTGCGCCCACTCGCCCGCTGGCGGATGAGGATGATGATGAGGAGGATCTGGCCGAGGATCCAGAGATTGCTGGCGTGGAAATGCGCGTCAAGCGGAAGCCAGTGTCTGGCATTGCCTCTTGGGTGGTGGACATGAGCGACTGCCGCCCGGAGCGACGACGCAGCACCAGTAGCACCACCTCCAGCTTCCGTGAGCGCTCCGACTCGAACAGCTCGCACAAGAGCGGCTGTGGTTTCTACGTTTCCCTGGATGATATGGACAGGAAGCCGCAGGAGCAGCCAGCAACAAAGCCTGCAGCTGGAGTGACGCCTGCTTCGCAGCTAAGCAAATCCTACACGGCTCCAAAGTCGGCGGGATTCTTTGTAGATCTCTCGCAAAGCAGCAAGGACGAGGAACAGGAGCGCATGGAGCGAGAGCTGGCCCAGGCCCGGGAGGAACCCAAGCCGGAACCAAAGAACATATTCAGCATGTTCATTGACTTTGGGGAGCAAAAGACCCCACGCTCCAATGGGCGCAAGGAACCTCTCAGTCTGGCCCAGCGGCTGTCCAGTTCCCTGAGCTCCTCATCGACTCCCCAGCGAAGAGCCGGCGAGACCGAGGTGATGAAGTCCAGTGCCAGTTCCACGGAGACCCTAATGGCCAAGAGTGCCAACCAAAAGGACCTTGCACCGGTTGCATCGGGAGAGAGCAAATCCCTAGATTACAGGTGCAACCTAGAGCCTCCGTTGACAGTGGCTGCCCTGCGTCGTCTGTCACAGCAGCAGCGCCAGCAAAGCGATCCCGCCAAGCGGCACAGCTGGGGGAGCAACAACGGATCGGGACCGGGTACAGGCAATGAGTGCAAGCGTTCCATCAGTCTCACAGCCAACGGAGGAACGGATTCGTCGTCGTCGGGCCTCATGAGCATCATCGACAAGCTGCCCATTATATCGAAGGCGTCCTCCCTGTCCATTGACAGCTCTGTGTCGCCATACGACGACTTCAGTGGCTCCAATCCCGGCCTAAGCAGCTGCTCGGAGGAGGAGCAGGCCCATGCCCAGAATACCAGGATCAAGAAACGCCGAAGGGATGTGCAGCTGAATGAGACGTATGACAAGTCGAGTCTGGCCTCGGTCACCGAAGGAGTGCTCTCCAAAGACATGTCGCCCGCCTCCAACACGGACACGGATGATCTCACCTTCCAACAGGACGAGCAGCTGGCCAAGGAGCAGGCGGCGGAACTGGTGGCACTGCCCGTGTCCATCCAGCTAACCAGCAGCAGCTCCAATCGCACCAGCAGCGTGATGGAGACGATTATCGAGGCCAAGGAGACGGCTTCGCCCAAGAAGCAGGTTACGGTGGCGCTTAGCAATGGCCACACCATGGAGTCCCTACACGCTACCATCGAGAAGCAGAAGCAGCTGCTGGAAACGGTTAACGAGCACGGTGAGCAACAGGCGTTGCAGCAGGCCCAACAACAGCCCTCCCAGATCCCCTCCAGCTTTGTAAAGCTCTCGGACATGGACAAGCCGGTGAAGCACGATCTACAGTCACCGGATTCGATGAGCAAGAGTGTGGGCAATAACCACCGTAGCTCCCAGTTGGGCCAGAGGCTCTACCGGGACGAGAACCGAGCGCGTCCGCACTCGTGGGCCATGACCCGATCCACAGGGAACACGCTACAGAACTTCACCAACTCGGTGGACAACATTAGGAGCCTCTCCCGCCTGTTCCCCAACTTCTCCAAGGAGTTCTCCAACTCGCTGCCCAACGACATGACCCTGGAGCAGGGCCAAATGCAGCAGCAACAGGTGGACTACATCCAGACGGATCTCAGTGCAGACTCGAGTCTCGCCTCCAGCTTCAGCCGATCGGGCATGGATGAGTCCTCGCTGAGCTGCCGGCAGCCCCGTCGTTTAGGAGAAGATTTGCTCAAGATGTTCCTGCAGGAGATAGCCACGGACATGCTGGTGGAGGTGCATGGTCGTCGAATCCGTGCGCACAAGTGCATCCTGCGCTCCCGCTGTCAGTACTTTGCCGCCATGCTGGCGGGCCACGGAGCCCAGAGCGTCGTCTCCCTGCAGGGCTACTCCTATGCGGCTGTGCACTTTGCGCTGTGCCACATCTACTCGGGGGCGTCGCATCCGCCGGATGGCATCAGTCTGATGGAGCTGGCCGCCCTAGCAGATCTGCTGGGTCTTGAGGGTCTCAAGGAAGTCACCTCCCATGCTCTGAAGACGAACTACTGCCACAACTTCCACAAGCCGTGCTCCGGCTGCACAGACGGCATCCTGCAGGTCCTGCCCGTGGCCTTGAACCATGCTCTGGACGACCTATACAGGAAGTGCCTCCGCTGGACGTGTCGCCACTATCTGAAGGTGTGGCCCACGCGGCAGTTTGCCCAGCTGCCGCCGGATATTCTGGGACGATGTCGCCAGCAGATCGTCGCTTACTTGGTGAGTAATCCCCTGGAGGACTCTGATGTTATCTATTTCTGAATGTTTCCTTTCTCTCGCCAGACTTCCGAGACAGTGCTGGACACGGTGCTCGACTGCGACCACCTGCTGGCCCAGCTTTCGGCTTACCGCTGGGGCCACGTCTGCGAACAGCTGGTGCGCGACATCCTGGACGCTGCCTACGCCTACGTGGGTGACCACTTCGCCAGCCTGATTGCCAGCGACGCTTTCCTGTCGCTAGGCCACGATCGCAGCCGGCACATTCCACGCCTGGAGACGCTCCTGTTGCACACGGCCGCTGAACTGACTCCGGAGCTGGCCTGCCGAAGCTATCAGCGTGTGACCCGCTTGAACACGGTGTTGCAGGCCAAGGTCATCCATATGCCCGCCAGCTTGGGTCAGTCTGAACTGGCCCGCGAGCTGCAGGGTCTGCAAGAGGAGCAGCTGGACTGGCAGCCTGAGTATATCCGGCTGGTAGGAGCTCTCGTCTATGCCGTAGAGCAGTGTCTCATCCGGCAGTGCTCACGGGCTATGCGAGTCACAGCCTGGCAGCGCATGGACCTGGAGCTGCGCAAGAAGATTCAAACGCTAGCCCGTCTCACCGAGCCGCTGGACATGAAGCGGCAGAATGGCAAGCCGGTGGGCAAGGCGTTCTCCTTCGGTGGCAACTCACGGAGCCAGGATCTCGTGCAGATTAAGCTGGCCATCCAGGCGCAGACAAAACGAGCGCACGCACAGGAGGCGCAGCTATACAAGGCCACGCAAACACACGAGGCGGCGTCTGGTCACGTCCAGACCGCGGATCGGGGAGTGCAAGCAAACCACGAGTCCCGAGAGGGAGGAAGTAAGCCCTGTTCTATAGTTCCTATAGAAGCTAATACTTCTTCTTTACTTATGTACATTTTTTTTTGCACATCTTTTACAGGCAAAATACTCAAGTCTAACTCCCGGGCCTATGTTCCACATCGCGCCAGCTCTCAGGTGGCCTCGGAGCGCAACAGCTTGAATCTGCATCGACGTACCCAGTCGGAGGCCCCTCCGGTGACGCACAAGAAGCCAGTTCCGGTAGCGGCGGAATCCAAGGCTGCTGCCCCAGCGAAGACAGTCGCTGCCACTGCTTTGGCACCCACTAAACTGGCAGAGGTGCGACCTCGTTACCTGGAACCCCGCAAGCCAAGGGCTGCAGCAACAAATGGCCACAGTGCCGGACCAGTTCGCAGTGCCACCAGCTCGAGTATTCCAGCCAATGGTGGCAGAAAGGCGCCAGCGAAGAACCTGCACATCTCCTCCAGCGACAGCTCACGGAACTCGAGTCCAGCGGCTCGCCGAGTGCAGCAGAATGGAGCTCGACTGGGCAACAAGTCAAGCAATCTCTCCATGGACAGCCTAGCCTCGCCGGCGCGTAGGGCCAAGAGCAACTCGCGGGGACCACAGGACAGGTACTCCTCCGACCAGAACTCTCTGGCGGAGAGCATGAAGAGCTCGGTCATCACCAACAAAACGATCTCACACGAGTCGCTCTCGGGCAGTTCGAAGCTGGCCAGAGTACAGCAGCTCAACGGCCACGGAAAGGCAAATATCACGGGCAAGATCAAAGCCACACAGCGTGGCTCTACCGTGGGCAACAAGTCGACGCGTCAGCTGAAGCAACAGCACAATGCGGTGGCCTCCAATGGATCCAGTCCCAGTTCCGTGCATACGACCAAGTCGGCCGCCAGTCGCCTGTCCTCGGTCAGCAGCACGCTCTCCACCCGGGAGCTGTTCAAGCAGCGCTCCATTTCAGTGCCAGCAGGTGGAACAGATGGCAGCGGTGGTGGAGCACCGAACAAGGGACGCCACAGCTTCCTTTCGGCCAAATCCCGCGAAATCCTGGCCAAGCGGGCCGAGAAGAACAAGCTCCAGCAACAGCAGCAGCAACAGAAGCAAACCGAAGCGCCGGGTGATGAGCAGGTGCAGCTGCGCGCTTCGGCCGGACCCCTGCGCTCCTCCTCACATTCCGCGGTGACCAGCATGCTGCAACAACACAATCTACGCAACAGTCTGCCCTCCAGCATACCCACCCGACGACCCAATACGCTGCATCTAAAGAAGACCACAGCGGCGGTGTCCAATGGAGTGGCCACCACCAAAACCACCACTAACGGGCTTACGAATGGATCCTACAAGTCAGCCCAGGCAGTCAAACAGAAGCTGGACCTGCTCATCGATGCCCAGATGGAGGGCGGGGCGCCGGCGCCCAAGGAGCGCGTAGAATCCAAGCTAGAGCGTTCGAGCACCTTCTGCAAAGACAGCGCCGATCTGGATTTTAGCGAACTGCAGATTGTAGAGTAAACTCAGCCGGAGCAACAGCATCAATATGATGGGGTGAGTAAGCATGAGAGAATGGATTACACCCGCAATCTAATTCCCTTCTTTCTATCCACAGGTTGTATCAAATATGACCCCAGAAACGAAGCCGAAGTCCATAGAATCCAGCAACCAGAACCCCGAACCGTAAACGTCCCATAAGGCAACACTAGTCAATAATTTAGCATAGGCAGCTGCCGCAGGAACCCATTTGAAGGATAACGAATACTAATGCGAAGATGTTACTACTATCAACGGACAACCGAGATAATTAACAATCCCAAAAGTCCCCGAGATCCAAACCAGAGTTGGAAACAAGTTATATAGCCGTTGAACCTAACCCAGCCCACTTTAAAGTATAACTATATATATTAGCTTATTGCGATGATAGGAAGGCGACGACGAGCGACGGATATATAGGCCAGGGAAATTGCTAAAAGGAAAAAGAAAACAAAACTGATAAATGAAACAAGTATTTGGTGATATTATTTAGAGTGCGTTTTATGTTTACGTTTAAATGCTAGCGACATGTGCTTATACCCCCGAAAACCAGCTCTCTACTCAAAGTACGAACCAGCGATGGCCTATTGTATGCTTTATGCGCTTTACAGGCTGCATTTAAGGTCTCTCCTCTAAGCTCTCTCTTACCCCCGCTTGATGATAAATATATATATATAGAAGAGGGATCTATATATATGTAATATTTTAGGCTTGAACTCTTTTTTATACTGTTGTTTATTTAACTCGTATTCGTACTCGTAACACAATGGCGCATTACTTCAGCAAGGCAACCAAGGAAACGTCTATTTTACACATAAATCTATTATTTCATACAATTAATTTATACATTTTAATTAGTTTCGGTTATTATACTTAGAACGAAGCGAACGAAAGTGAGTTTTTGTAAGCAACGGCATTGATATATTGATAATGAAGTGCAAGAAGTAATAAATGTGTGTATTTATTAAAAGTTACCATATAAAATTAAAAGGGTTTTACTCTATCGGTTGGTTAAATGAAAAGTTGGTTTGCATTTCACTAAAATTTCTCAAAGTAAAATTAATTAAATCACTTTTCTATTCTCTCTCTTACAAAGTTGCAATTGAGAGCAATCACAACAATCAAAATAAACGTAACAAATACGCGAGAAGTGCATTGATGAGCCCATTTTCTGAGCTGTGATATTTCTGTAGCTGGTCTCCGCACTTACGAAAGGGATCTGGCCACTGATAACAACAAATAGATGGAGAGAGCACCGGTGCAGTGAAATTCGTCGTATTCTATTTTATTCCGTTCTTTTCTACAATCATCGTTATGGGTGGTGATCTATTATTAGTTAAAATATAAAAAAGCTTGGCTTGCGTTCATTCCGTTTCCGCACATTTGCTAATTACAACCGAAACTGGGACTTGTACACTAATTATCATATCGCGCATTCTCGCATTTCTTCGTATTTATATACCCGAACGATATACGAAACCGGGGGAGCTGTGCAAGTTACATATAGAATCTAGAGTCTAGACTTAGCCTAGGAGCGGGTTCAGTCGGTGGCAGCAGGGGCACCTGCTACAAGGTCGGGCTTTTTAATGCTCAGTGCCCATTCGTTAAAAACGTTGCGGCAGTGGATGACGACGCACTCGTTGCTGCAGTACTCGTCCTCCCAGTCGGGATTGATGATGGCCGGCTTGTTGCACTGCTCCCGCGTACACTTCTGCACCCTGGCCGCCTCGCTGAGCAGCTGGATCTGTTCGGGCGGCGGTTCCTGCGGCTGCTCCACTTGTGGCTGTTCTGGCGGGTCCACCTTACACACTTCTGGCTTGGGAGCCACAGCAGCGATAGCAACAGCTGGAGTTTCTAGCTCCAACGTGGCCTCTGATTCGGACAGCTGCTGGCGATAGTCTCGTATGAGACGCACATAGTCTCGCTTTTCCTGCTCGTGCCGCTGAGTATACACATTCTTCTGGGTCTCATCCAGGGAGTCCCACATGGTCTGTACAATGACCTGCATCTGCTCCAGCGAGCAGGAGGGATTCTGCTGTTTGATGGCCGTCACAGTGTCCCGAAAGAACAAAGCAAACGGCGCCAGCGGCTTGGGTGGTGCCTGTGCCTGTACCTGTGTCTGTTGCTGTGGAATCAGCACCTCCTGCTGCTGCTCCTGCTGCGGCTGGTGCTGTTGGGCCACCAAACCTTGGCCACCGCCATATGTGTCGTACTCGTCTTCATCGTCGTCATTCAACGTGGAGTGATCCAGGCTAAGCATTCTCCGCGACTGGAAAAAAGGGAGAACAGAGGCATTGTTAGCGACGGCTGCCTTTCACAACTCCGACCGATCCGGCCCGAAGCCAGGGAGCTCACTAGAAACTTCTTCATCTGACGCGCAATCCCACTCGCAGAGTGAACAACTAAACTAATGTACAAATCGTTCGCCCAAGCACAGTCCACTTGGATGGAGGCGGGCATAGCGGGGGAGGGCGCTATGTGCTGTGCGGTGTGGTAACCTGCCCGTCGCCTCTGCCGTTGCTGTATGAGCGTGTGTGCGTGCCGTTTGCTGATAAGAAGCTGACGCGGCGTTTGTGCCCGCTCTCCAAACGATAACCCCCGCTCGAAATGGGGGGAAGGGTGTGTGCTCCACTTGCAATTGTGTGCGTGCGTACATGCGGCCGGGGAGTCCATTCGTCCAGCTGGTCGCCAAAACAAACGCGATTGCCCGGCGATTTCGATCTGTTGTTCATTATAAAACCATTACGGCCATCGATGCACAGCAATTACTGCGGGCGGTCGGCTGTGAAAACTGTTGCTGAGTTTTCCCGAGCTGGTGGCGCGTCTCGCCTTCAAACCTCCGAATCGGATCGGATTTGTTGGCTTCCTTCGGCGTCTGCCAGAGCAGTCGTACTTACCGCCTGGGTCGGACTCTCTGCCGGCGTGTCATTCAGCTCGAAAACTTCGTCTCCGAAGGAGGGCGTATGAAACTGGTTCATCGTGGCGCCTCCAACAAGTCTCCTGGGCTTATTTACAAAAGATATCTAAACAATTTAATAAAGTTTTTTTTAATAAGTTCGCTAAAGTGACCGTATCGTGCCAATTGAAAAATGCCTTGCACAAAAGACACCACATTTTATGGTTTCTAACACTGGACCGAGTCAGTTACCAGGTAAGCAGTTTTGAAATAATTAAACATGGTTTTTAAATTTTTATAAAATAAGAAGCGGAGCTTGCATCTTAATTTTAACTGTTTTTTTTTATTTTGTAATTTTTCTTACCTAAATTATGTTGTAAATTTTTTTGCAGAAAGCAGTGGCTATCTTTGGCCTTTCCCAGTGCCCGCCCAACTGTTTAAAGGGGCACATTCGCCTTTTGTTTATTCTTTCAGTCTAAACGATGCACTACTTTAGGGCCTTTCATACCCATTTGTTTAATAGCATACTTTCACGGTATACTTGCATACTTTTACGCAGTAATTGAGCACAGTCCCGATATGTAGTATACAGCTAACCGACTTAGGCTTGCCATTTAGCCAGGCGAAACCTGTCTTTCATAGAAATGATTTTCTAAAAATTACCCATTTTCGAGGCGACCATCTAAATTATTCATTTGGCATAAAAATAGCTAAATTGAGGGTTTTCTTTTAATATGGCGTGGACCACCGGTCGCATACTCCTACAGCTATACTCGCACCGAGTCCAACGCCAGAGCTTCGCCTCAACGACACCTGATGGCGCCAGTGGACAGAAACTAGACGGGCTTCCAACTACTGCGAAGGGCTCGTTTATGGAATCACTATTTTCCAAGTGGCTGCAGGACCACAGGTCGATCCATGGAGTAAGTATTACGAAATGAACTTTTAATATATATAAAATAATGCTTCATTTATTATTGCAGACCTGGAATCGATTCTTTAAGGACTTTGTGGAGGACAAAGCTGCGGCCAGTGACGATTCCAGTACTAAGACTGATTCGGAAAGCAATCAAGGAAGCGAGATCCTTGGACAAGGGGACACCTTACCACCACAGCCCACGTTGGATTCAATATTACCAGGATCGGTGATCCAGCTCCCAGAAAAAATTACCCAGCAGGAGACACCAGAGGAACCCGATAAAGCAGCCAAGGGTGACGAGAAACCTACAATCCGCAAACGCAGAAGGTTTCCGAAATTCACTTTATTCCATAAATTTGCAAAATTTCGAAGGCGTGGGGTGCAAGAAACAAAAAAAGGCCGATCCGTGCTCTTCAAGAGCTATTACGAGGACAAACTGAATAAAGAGAAAGCTAAGCAATCAAAGCGGAAACAAGATGGCCTCAAGGATAATCCAAAGAAGGAATTGCTTGAGAAGTCGCAGGAAAAGCTACAACCAATCCATCTTGGTGACGAGTTTCACGATCCAAATGAATCGCCCAAAACTAGTACATATAAAAGCCTGGACGCCATTATCGATGAACTGGACAATGCCACCATAAATATGGCCTTGCCCCATCCAATTCACAAAGAGGGAGTAAAGGAAATTCAACTTTGGAAGGCAGACGGAGCATTACAACTTTGTAAAATGCCTTCAGATATAAAATCTTTTACAGATTTACCGAGAACATTGATAGATCACTCCGAGAAAAGCTCCAAGTCTGAAGAAATAGTGTTGATGAGTGAGGATAAAGCAACAGATAATGTATCCACCGCCGAAGTAACTGCAGAAGCCAAGTCTGAGAATCTCACTGAGGGACTCCAAGCTCCACTTGACGATGTCATCGACAAGAAGCACGAAACGGACGCTCCCACGCAGCCTCCCATTGATCCCTAAACTGTATCTTGGATGTTCAATCTCAGCATGTCTGGAATTTAAAGGCTTGACTAGCTTAAAACTCTCCTCTCTCTTTAGCTATTAACATCCAAAATTTTCCGGGCTTACCAATAGTTTATGACAGAATCATGAATATAAGGCGACTGCTGTTTAAAAAGGACCTGGTGTGGGGCCTCCGCTTCCTGAGGATAAGTCTTTCGCTGAGCAAAGCCAACGATCTGGACTCCTTTACCAGTGGGTGCAGTGCCGCCTACATTGAGAATATGTATAACAGGTGGAGAAATAATCCCAAGTCCGTAGAAAAGGTAAGCACTTATGGTTAGCCGTCCTCCGAATGTAACATTCCTCACTGTTTAATTTCTAGTCCTGGAATACGTTCTTCAGCGGCAAGGATAAGTTGCTTTCCAAAAAGTTGCCAGATACCAGGAAGTTCAGGAAGAGCCCACCACCAGACAACATACATATTAAGGCCCGGTCGCCCAAGGGAACGACTTCTGACAGCCAAGTGTCTACTCCACCGGCGCCTACTCCACCGGCGCCTACTCCACCGGCGACTGCTCCATCGGGGGCTAATAAACCGGTAGCTGCTCCACCGAAGTCCACTTCATCCGCCTCTGATTCACCCAGGGCAGCTTCACCGGGACCTCCTCCACCGGGACCTGCTCCACCAGCGCCTGTCGCCAACTGGAAGAACGTCGACGACCATCACACGGTGCAATCAATCATCCGTGCCTACCAGTTGCGTGGTCACCTGGCAGCCGATCTTGATCCTTTGGGAATCGTGGGACCCACGAAGACATCCTCGGTAGACGGCACCCAGCGACAAGCAGCAAAGGAGGTACTCAGGCAGCACTACTCTTACATATTCGGTAAGGATTTGAGTCGATCTTCACTTCACATCTCCATCTTACTCCCTTTTTGCAGGCGATCTCAATGCGATGTTCAAGCTGCCCTCGTCCACAATGATCGGAGGCGATGAGAAGTTTTTACCCCTCAGGTGAGTTCCAAGGCATGAATCCTGGCTACGTCACGTGACTTTATTGCCTGCAGGGAGATTCTGGACCGTTTGGAGCGCTCCTACTGTGGACACATCGGAGTCGAGTATATGCAATTGACTTCTTTAGCCAAGACCACATGGATTCGCAGGAGATTTGAGAAGCCAAGTGCCTTGGACTTCAGCAAGGATGAAAAAAGGATCATCCTGGAACGACTGGCCCGTGCGACGGGCTTCGAGAACTTTCTAGATAAGAAGTTCACCTCGGAGAAGCGTTTCGGTCTAGAAGGATGCGATATCATGGTGCCCGTCATCGATGAGGTGGTGGATAGGTCCGCCAAAGCCGGTGTGGAATCCTTTCTTATAGGTGAATCGTAAAAGTCTCCCTTGATTAACCTTTTATGATATCCTTTAACAGTATCTTTTCTTACCGCAGGGATGGCCCATCGCGGTCGCCTTAATGTACTGGCCAATATCTGCCAAAGGTCCATTGCCGACATTTTGTCTCAGTTTCACGGTTTGGAGGCTAGCGACTGTGGATCCGGTGATGTGAAGTACCACCTGGGTGTGTTCCAGGAGCGGCTGAACGAATTGAGCAACAAAATGTTACGCATCACCGTGGTGGCCAATCCCTCGCACTTGGAGCACGTTAACCCAATCGTTTTGGGAAAGGCACGGGCGGAAATGGATCTGCGCGGCGACACGACTGGCGATAAAGTTTTGCCCATCATCATTCACGGTGATGCCTCCTTCTGCGGCCAGGGTGTGGTCTATGAGTCCTTGCACTTGTCCGATCTGCCCAATTATACCACCTATGGCACCATACACATCGTCTTGAATAACCAGGTGGGCTTCACCACGGACCCACGCTTCTCACGCTCCTCGCGCTACTGCACGGGTGTGGGCAATGTAGTGAATGCCCCCATTTTCCACGTGAATGCCGACGATCCGGAGGCATGCGTCTACTGCGGTCGCATTGCCGCCGATTACCGCGCCAAGTTCAAAAAGGATGTGGTCATTGATATCGTTGGCTACCGTCGCAACGGGCACAACGAGGCGGATGAGCCGATGTTTACCCAGCCATTGATGTACCAGACCATCCGAAAGAAAAAGCCCTGCCTGGAACTCTATGCGGAGAAGCTCATCAAGGAGGGCATCGTGTCGGACAGCGAGTACAAGGAGATGGTTGCCAAATACAACAAGATCTGCGAGGATGCATTAATTGAGTCGAAGAAAATTAAAACGATCAAGGTGAGTCCTGAAAAGTCTCTGCTCTCCTCCGTCTCTTACTCTCTCTGTGGCCACAGCACTCCACATGGATCGATTCACCATGGCCTGGTTTCTTCGAGGGCCGCAACCCGCTCAAGGAGTGTCCCACTGGCGTCAGCGAGGACACCCTCAAGAAGATTGGCACGATTTTCTCCAGTCTACCGCCTCCGGAGCGCAAGTTCAAGACGCACAAGTGAGTAGAGGGGAAGGATTTCAAGAGCAGCTAGTTTGAGAGACTAACATATTACCAAAAGGGGCATTGAGCGTATCCTGTCGCAGCGGAAACGGATGGTGGACAACAGGGTGGCGGATTGGTCGTTGGGCGAGGCCTTCGCCTTTGGATCGCTGCTAAAGGAGGGTATCCACGTGCGTTTGAGTGGCCAGGATGTAGAGCGCGGTACGTTCTCGCACCGACACCATATACTCCATCACCAGACAGCCGACAAGACGGTGTATTCTCCACTGAACCACTTGTATGCCGACCAGGCGGAATACTCCGTCTCCAATAGCTCGTTGTCGGAGTGTGCAGTCCTGGGCTTCGAACATGGCTACTCGATGGCCAGCCCGTATGCCCTGGTAATTTGGGAGGGACAGTTCGGAGACTTTTGCAACACGGCGCAGTGCATCATAGATCAGTTCATTGCCAGCGGTGAGTCCAAGTGGGTGAGGCAATCCGGCGTGGTCCTGCTGCTTCCCCACAGCATGGAGGGCATGGGCCCGGAGCACTCCTCTGGTCGCATGGAGCGTTTCCTGCAGATGAGCGATGACGACCCTGATATATACCCGGATACCAACGACGATGACTTTGCGGCACGCCAGTTGATGAACATCAATTGGATCGTAACGAACCTATCAACGCCGGCCAATCTCTTTCATTGTTTGCGGCGTCAAATAAAGATGGGTTTCCGTAAGCCACTGATCAACTTCTCACCCAAATCGGTTTTGCGCCACCCGATGGCGCGGAGTCCCTTTGAGGACTTTAACGAGAGCAGCTTCTTTCAGCGTCTCATTCCAGAGAAGGGTCCAGCCTTAGAGAATCCCGAGTGCGTAACCAAGCTAATATTTTGTTCCGGAAAAGTGTACTATGATCTTTTCAAGGAGCGTGAGGACCACGAGCAGGTGAACACCGTGGCCATAGTGCGGGTGGAGCAGGTAGGTTTTAGTGGCCTTCTTTACTAACCCCTATTTAATGGCTTCTCCCTTACTTCAGATTTGCCCCTTTCCCTATGATTTAATAACGCAACAAGTGGAGCTGTATCCGAACGCGGAGTTGCTCTGGGCCCAGGAGGAGCATAAGAACAGCGGTGCATGGTTCTACATTCAGCCACGATTCGACACTATGTTGCTGCAGAACGAGAACGAAACGTAAGTCTCTAAATGCCAAGGTGCCGTGTCGGTGGGGACCTTGGGCTACTCCCCTTTTGGGTGATTCAATTCAGGTGCGATTATCGTCGACGCGCCTTCAAAGTGTCAATCGAGGGGTGCGTGACGCCGACGAAGAGTACTTTGCAGAAACCATCTAAGATCTATCCCAAGAAATGGTGGGCGACGACGCCGTGTGACGCCATCTTTGGCGTTCACGGTGATGCCGATGGCGATGGCGATGGCTATGGCAAGATGGTGACACCCAAGCCCAAGCCAAAGGCATGCTAACAGCCAGCGAATGTCTTTTTTTGTTTGGGGAATTTTCTATTTAATTGTTTTTGCTGGGAAGATGGGAAGATGAGGTTCGTTTGGTTTGTGGGAATGTTTATTATAATTTAACATCAAATCTATGGAAGGACTTGGTGTTATAACTAAGTTTTACAAATATTTCAGCTTTACGAAATGTACAACTTTAAACTGATGTAGAAATTAACTAATTTCTTTCAGTTTTCCTCCTCCATTTTATACAAGAATTTCTAATTAATTCTCTTGATTCCTTCACAAATCACTTATTTAATTAGTTGTACTTTCTAGCAGGTAGCATCATCTAATCATTGTCACTTGTTGTTCTGCTTGGCTTTTCTTCTCTTTTTTTTAGTGAAGCGTGTGCCAAGCAAATCCGAGCAGGTTGCCTTTCTCTGTTCTTGCCCCAATGATTTATAGTTTGTGGGTTGTGTGCGCCCTCGTAAATTTACAAAAACGGCCTTGCCAGAGTTCAGAGCCAAAGATACATAGTTCCTCCATGGAATTTATGGAATCTCCTAGGATAAACAGAAATACACTGAAGCGTGTGAGTTAATGGATACTTGGCACCTCTGTCGCTCTGATACGATTAATTGTGCTCCAATAATTTGTTGAATTTGGCAATTGCGTTGTTAGTAATGGGGTTCGACCCGATCCCAATTGAGCAGCCTCGTGGCAGACCTCAGACAGCCACATCGATGTTGGACATCGCATTGTAGTATTTTACGAGAAAGGAACTTGGCACAGTTTCGTTACCAAAGTGCTTCTCCGCTCTCTCCAACAATGATCCTCCGTTCAGCTCCTCCTAATGCTGACCACTAATGGTCGCTAATGCTCCGCTAGATTTCTGCTCTGATTTATGGAAAGCACATAAAGATTTCTGGGGAAAAACTGAAAATAATATAAGCATATGGCTATGAGAGACATAGTACATACATATATGATTCCGCGTGTAACCACAGCGAGGACTCTTCTCTGCACTTGAAATCTTTGATGTTGATGCTGCGGCGATGCCAATGTTTTGTTTTTTTGCTCTTCATAAGTGTTCCCAACTATCGCTCAACTCGAAATTCCGAACATATAGAATGAAATGTGTTTTGTTTTCTATTTTGTTTTCAATTGCTTTTGAGCAAAATATGTCGGTACACATCGAGAAAGAAGGGAATGATTATAAGAAATGATATTAGTGAATGTATAAGGTATTTTAATTCATTTCATTTTATCCTAGTATGATTTAAGAAAAGGATTTATTAAAGAATGCAAAAGGTCCTCCGTGTGCTTAGTCTTTTGTTCTGATCTTAATGTCTTAAGCAGACTTGTATCTCTACTAAATTTAATTACTTTATTGTACTTCATCATACTATATATTTTATTTATTTCCCTGTTTTAAATCACTTATCCAAAATTTATGAGAACAATTACTGCCCCTGATTGATCACCTTGTTTACCTGTGTGTGCCTTTGTCGTAAATTGATTTAAATCTGAAAACTCTTGACAGATCTGTGACAATAGCTCATAAAATATCAAATTTTTGTTCCGTGTACTCGTTACCAGACGTACATAATGTCTTGATCGTACATATATATGTTAGATATATGTATATAGTACTGCGGTTGCCAGCTCCGAGAATTGAATGAAAATCCCGCCGGCCAGCGGCCCCCAGGAATGTAGCATATTCGCAGGTCTACTATATTATGGTATGCCCCATCTGATCTGAACCCATCTCCTGCCCCCCGCATCATGGCATCATGTTATGTTTATGGCTGGCATGTGTGTGCCCTGCATTTTGTTTTCCCTCAATTTCTTCGTGGTTTTTGTCGGCGCGAATTAAAGTCTCTTGTATGAAGCGCGGCGATAATTGCGAGAGATTTCCCTCTGAATTCCGAAAGCGCCAAAACGCCTTGACAATCAATTATGAGAAACGTCCGACGATCTTTAGCGGAATGTTTTTCTTTTTGTTTCCTCGGGTTTTCCGATTTTCCGATTCTATATATTCGATTTTCACTCCTATATCTCGAGTGTGTGTGTTAATGGTGGGATGCAGGCCAATGCACAGCAAAGCTGCGCCAAAGTTTTATTAATGGCACGCATTTCTCTGTTGTCCAAACTTTCGGGGATTGTGGATATATGTATATAGTATATGGGATATAGTATTTAGGGGCATATCGACGTTGATGGAGTGGGCGTTGGAATATCGTTCTGTTTGTCGATTGAGAGGTTTGCCTGGCACATTTTATGGCCAAATGACCATGGAATGCTAACATGGTCCAAACGAGAAGGCGTCCGAATCCATCCAACCATTCCAACACTGAACAAAATGGTACAGTTTATATTCTCTTATATCAAAGGAGGAAAGAAAAGCTACCCTTGTGAATGGGAAATCTATCATAACTTTGGTAAAACTATATTAATTTCAAATATTTGTAGATTGAAAAAGGCTTTTAATCGAAGTCAAAATGAATTGACCAGCACAAGCATCTGGCAAGATCCAGTTGGAGCTGGAGCAAAACAAACACTAAATGCTCCCATAAAACTAAAACAATATAAAATTGTTGATCTTCAAACAACCTAAAATGTATCTTGATCATTGCTCATCAGATTTTTTGTTTGTGTGTAGCGCCTCTGGCTTTTGTTTTATTGTGTTCATTCATCGCCCGATTTGCCCCGATCAGCGGTTGCTTTATAAATAAACCGAAAGGCGAAAGGCGAAAACAAGCAAATCTCGGCCAGAGTCGCGGGGAAGCATCAATCGTCGTTGAATGGGAAGCATCGGAATAAACAGATTCATAAATGTTTTTATGAGTAATTGGCTTTGGAAAACCCCAAAAATAGAATGGCGCAGCTCTCGCTCTCGCATAACTGAAATATTTTCCGCTTTATTTAACATTAAATTGCTTGTTTTATATTTACACATACAGAGTACTTAAAATGTAAACGAAAGGCCACATCGCAGGGCTCTACAGCGATCCTGGAATCCTGGAATAAGTTACACTAAACACTAGGATAACACTAAGCTCTAGACTGAACACTAAACATAACTGAATGTCGAGTTGAGATCCTTAAAAAATCCCCCTGAAGCCGGGCCAGGGAGTCTTTTAATTCCACTCAAAGGTAACCGAACACTGGACGCCACTGGGGTTGGGATTTTGGTCCTGAACCAAAGCTGGACCTACACCATGTTCCATATGCTGTAGCTGGCCGCCCGGCGCTCCTCCTCGGCCACCTGCTCGTAGTCAATCTCCAGGTACTCCTTGCCCCCGAAGCGCACCTTCCGTCCGGTGTACTTCTTGATATAGCTGACATGGGCGGGCACCTCCTTTCCCTCGATTTCCAACTTGTACGAGATGCTGGTGATCCGCTCCAGAACTCGGCCCCGTTTCCAACGCACCTGGGTCTTGCGAAAGCGTTCGGCGTATAGTACCAGGTCCCCGATCTTGTATTCGCGGACATGCATGCAGGATTTGAGAGCCTTGCTGGGTTCCTCCTCGGGTGCCTGTTCCTCCTCTTCCTCCTCGTCATCGGTCACGTAGGCAATAGCCCGCTCAATGGTCTCGATCTCTGGGATCGTGGGCTCCTCGGGTTCCGGCTGCAGGAAGAATGTGTCTCCGATGGAGAGACGTCGCTTCTGTCGCTTGATGATCACCTTCTTTTTGATCTTGCGCGGCTTCTTGGGCTTCGGAGCAGGCTCGGGTTCGGGCGCAGGTTCCGTTTCGGGTTCCTCTCCAGGCTCAGTTTCTAGTGGAGCCTCCTCCGCCACTGAGGATTCTTCCGTTGGCTGCTCCTCCTTAATCTCGGTTGCTAGTTTCTTTTCCTCCTCCTTGGGCTGGGTGGGCGGTTGCTTTACTGCCTGCTTCTTGGGCGGCGTTAGCTTGTTGATCCGGGAGGAGAGCTCATTGATCTTGTTCTTGTCGCGCAGTATGTTGCTCAACTTAGTAGAGTCCTGCTGTTTCTGATCCTGCTGGTGCTCATCCTTGCTCTTGTCTATGGAATTCTTGCGCACCAGCTTCTTGAGGTGCGACGGCGCCTTCTTCTTGACCAGCGGCTCCTGTCCCTTGGCCTCATCGTGTGGCTGCTCAACGGTCTCGATCTTGACGGGCTGCACCGGGCCCGCAAGTACTTTCAGCTCCGGCATGATGGCTAGACTGTCGCCGGGAGGCGCCTGTTCTCCGACTTTTGTAGCTTCGACCGCCTCCGCCTGCTGCTCTGGCTGCTGCTCAGGCGATGACTCTTCCTGCCTCAATGTCGTCGCTATTTGCGGCGCAATGTCAGCGGCGACGGCCACCTGTTGAGGCGTTGCTTGCACCTGCAGCTGCGTCTCCTGATTAATGGGTTCCTTGGACTTGGTCGGAGGCAATGCCTCGGTGGCTGCTACTGCTGCTGGGACTGGATGGGGTGCCGGTACTACCAGCACCGTTTCACCAACCAACTCCGCTAATTTCAGGCTGGCGCGTCTGCTTCGATTGCCTGCTGGCGCTAGATTGCCATCGATTGCCTCCGTCGGCGTGGCTGCTGCAGTTGTCACTGCCTCTGCCGCAGGCGTTGTCGCCTCTCCTTGGTCACTCTTGGCACTGGCCGACTTGGCTGCCACTGATGTGACCTCTGGCGTCGCCAATTGTTCTTCGGCTATCGAAGGCGTCGCCTCCCTCCGATTGCCGGAAGTTGTAGCCGCCGATGTTGTTGATTTTGCTGCGGCTTCTGCTGCTGGCGGGGATGTGGTTGGGGATGTGACTGCGCCCATTAATTTCAGCTTCTTCTTGCGCTTCACAATGGTCTCCGAGTCGGAGGGTCTCCGCTGAATGATGAGAGCATCGATCTGCTCGACGGCCGGCTCCACCTTGATCTTGGATGGCTCCACGGCGGCTATAGAGGCGCGCCTCGGGTTCTTCGCCTTCACGATGACTTTCTTCTTGATCTTGGGCGGAGGCTGCACTGCGGCTGACTCATCTGGCAGCGGCCCAGCATCATTGGCGGGGGTGACTACTAGTTCGGGTTTAACTGGTTTATGGGAAGTGGTTTCCTTGGGAGTCTCCTCCTTTGGCAATGCTGCCTTGTGTGCTTCTTCCTTTGGTGTTGTTTCTTTGAGCGATGCTTTCTTGGATGTAACTTCTTTTGGAGTTGTTTCCTTTGGCAATGCTTCCTTTAAAGCTGATTCCTCTGGACTTCGTTCTTTGGCAATTGTTTCTTTGGGTGCTGCTTCCTTGCGACTGGCTTCCCTCACGGACTTGGACTTGAGCTCACTTTGTACCTTGGCAAGGAACTCAAGTTTAGTCTGGCTTTTGCTCTTCTCGAGGACTTTGTTTATATCCCCATCTGTCCTGGGTAGCTCACCATTTACCTTTGGTGGTTCCTCTGGGACTTCTTTAAAATTAGATTTCGTTGTAGCATCTTCTACTTTTTCATTTTTCACAGGATGTTTTGCTTCTTTGATTTTCTCAGATTTCTCATTTGGTTCTTTGGTTGCCTCTTTGATTTCTTTCGACTTTAGTAGACCAGTCGACTTGGACTCCTGGTCCACTTCAAAAGCTTGATTTTCCTTCTGCAGAACTCCAACTTGATCAGACGTATCATTTAAATCTTTTTGCTTTTCATCCACGCTTTCTTTTTCCTTACTTTCCAGATTTTTATTGGGGCTCGATTCATTTTTCTCAGTAAAGGCAAAGGGCGTCTGTTCTCTCTTAATTTTATTATCTTTTTGCGGAACAGAAAGGTAGCCCTGATTGCTCTGCTTTTCCTTATCCTTGGTAGCTTCTGTCTGCCCTCCTGACTGAGCCTGCTCCTTCTCCTCCTCGGCCTCGTCAAAGTAGCTGCGTCGCCGCACTTTTGTCACAAACCGAAAGGACACTGGAGCTGTATCCGCGGCAGCTAGTGATGGCTTCGATGACGGCGTCTCTTGGGCTCCACCTTCCGCCTCGCTCTCCGTGCTGTACTGCTTGAGCACGCCCTTCACCTCGCTAAGGGCTCCGGAGATGCGGGCCTTCAGCTTGTTTATCCGTTCAATCACATCCTCAGGCTTTTCCTCCACGGAATCCTGTGAGCGCATGCGTCGCTGTCGTCGGAGACGCGTCCTCTCCGGCAGCACTGAGTCCGTATCAATGGAGGAGGCTTCGGTGGAGCTGCGCTTTAGTTCGCCCAGCAGAGGAGTTGTCGTTGTCCGGGTGGTTCCCTGTACACCCGCCACATCGCGTATACGACTCGTGGCACTTGGCCTGCTGCTTGGTTGAATTGCGGGCTGAGGAACCTCTGTCCTGGGAATCCTACTGGCAGTACTCGTTGAATACTTCATATCGATGGGCTCTGTTATAGTGGCGGAGATGCTGCTGCTATTGTTGTTGTTGTTGTCCAGCTCCGACTCCAAGTCTAGGGGCTGATCGAGTTGCTCGGCGGCGGCGGGATAAACGTCGACGGTTTCTGTCTCCCGCTCCTCACTGACTTGGCTGACGGTCATGTCCGCTCCGGCCTGGACCGCCTCCTCGCTCCAAAGGTTACCCGTGTCCGCAGGTGCGGCGCAGAGCAGCTCGATGGCGTTGGTCAAAAGTTCGAGTAGCTCCCAGTCGCAGTCCCAATCCCAGTCAATCGGAGAGCTGTCGGCGAGAAAGGCGCGCACGGAACTCTTTAGTGATTCTATATTTGGGCACGGATTCCGATAGCAATTCTGAGTTCGATTCCGCTCGCGGGTCAGTTGCTGTCGACCGAGATTATTCACGTCCACTTGCTCTGGCGACGATTCGCGCGCGTCTGAGGCTGAGAGTTCGCCGGATAGCTGCCACCGCCGCCGTCGTTGCTGGTGGTTGCCTTTCCCATTCCCATACCCATACCCATCCCCATCTATTGTCTGCTCCCTGGCCAAGCATATTGACTGCCTCTGCCACCGCTGCTGCTGCTGCTCTTGATCCGCCAAGTTCTCAGTCATATTTAGCTCATTATGATCTTCGGCCTTCTCTAATTTGCTTTGCTCGCATATTTCGCGTTTATTTTTGGCCACATCCACATCCATGGCGTCGTCGCTGACTCTGCCTTTGTAGTCGTGTCGCTGGCCGAAGGCGTCATTAAGATTTTCCGCCTGTTGATGCTCGATTTCCTTCGCCACCGCCTCCACCACGTTCAAGTTTAATGCTGCCGCCGCCGCCGTTGCCGTTGCCCTCCTCTCGGCCTCGGGTTCATTATCAAACACCTTATGTACACCACCGACGCCTCCTTCGTCTATTTCGGTGACTTTGGCGGGTCCCCGCTGCGTCACAGTTGTTGTTGCGGGCGTCGTCTTTGGCCCATCTTCATTCGCCACCGTTCGATAATTGGGAAAGCTAACAAATTGCTTTTTAATTATGGGAAATTCCTGGGGAGCCATCGCGATGGGTGGTGAGCTGGCCACTGCTGGTTTGCGCCTGGTCATTGTGATGCTTATGTGCGGGACTGCATCACCGGAATTCTTGCGGTTCCCCAGCTGTATCATTTGGGGAAATCCATGGTGCAATGGGGCGTATACTTGATGTAGGGGAAAGCAGGGTGTCGAATACGGGGCGTATACTTGATGTCGCGGTACTGTTTTTGGTTGTCCTTGATTGGAGGTGGTGTATACCTTCACTAAACTCAATGGAAAGCGTATATTTTCTTTCGAATCCAAGGGAAAGACTTGGTGTTCTCTAATATCTTGAATTAGAGGAAATTTGCCCACCTGTAGTAGATGTAATCGAGAGTTCCTGCTTCCATGTTCGCCCTGTGATGACGGTTGGTGGTGATTCATTGGGTTGCTCCCGCCCCAGGTGATCCCTCGACCAACCGGAAATTGCCCTGTCATACCGAGCACTTCCGGCGCCGTCGCCATCGCTATTGACAAACAAAACACGGCTGACTCAGGCTCTTGATTTACGAGGTGCTGCGAATTATTAGTATTATTAGCTGCTGCCTGCGAAATTGATTGCGTCTGCTGGGTCCGCTGCTCCTCTCCCGCCCTTTCCTCTGGCTTCGTCTCTATCATGCTGTGGGTGTGGGCGTGGCCGTGGGCAGTGCTCTCCTGTTGACCTATCTTCGTGGTCGCGGTCGCCAATTTTGATCCGATTCGCAGCACAATCTTCGGCTATGTTGCACTCAACACGTTGCAAGCGAAACTGGCGCAATCTGTCGACAATCGGGCAGAGGCATCACTAGCACCAGTTCCCTGGGGGCTGCGCCTCGCTGGCACAGGCACAGCATCCGATCATTGATCAGTCAGCAATCTATGTAATTGCAAGTGAATTATGTAGTGTCTGGGGATGATTTCAAAACGAAGCGCTTATGCCCTGTAAAAAACGTGGCTGATATCAAGATAATGTAAAAAGAAATATCAAAACCCTGTTCGCTATATAGACGATGATTGCCCAACTAAAAAGGATTTATTAATTAAAATACTTTTCATTATTAGCGGCAAGGTCTGCCAGCATTTATAGATATTGTTTGACAATAAAATAAGTTAGCCAAGTCTTTGTAGAAACATGCTCACAAGCCCCAAGATCCCTGACACACATATATCTATATTTATTTATGGGATATATTTAAAGGAGAATCTTCCGCCAAGTATTTAATTAAATGAACCCATTAAGCGCCTATAAGAACTAATTAAAATCCCAGAGCAGCTCCGTTCGATTATATGCAGGGCATATCAATTGTTTATAGATCTTGTAAGACAATAGAAACCGCGACATGGTCAGGAGAGGTTGCGCGTGTTTCGGATGCCACGCAGACAGAGACAGAGGAGCGGAGCCCTCGTGTAGACGGTCTATATCTATTGGTATATATACTACATCTGCCACTATATAGACTGAATAAATATGTCAGCTTGCCAAATTGCTTTTTTGCAGGCCGCAAAAAAGGAAAGAGCAATAGGCGGAGAGAGAACGGATAAAAATCAGTTCGTGTCGCCAATGCTATTGTTTAAATAGACCAAAGACCATGCCAGCGACGTTGTCTGATATCTGGGTGATGGGAATATGTCGCGCACAGATACCGGGTGTCCAATTTTAGCATGAATTCCCATTTTTCTCTTTGTTTACAGACGCTGCGTGTCCTACCATGGACGTGCGCCCAGCTCCTCGCCGGCGACTGGCAATAAGGTGCAACACTTCAAGGAGTATAAGGCCTTCATGGACAGCATATTTGGCGAGCTGACCGAGGAGAATAAGGCACGCCTGCAGGGCATCGTCAAGGAGCAGCAGGCGAAGACCAAGGCTGAATTCCAGACCTCTAGACAGAATAGTCCAACGCCACCGCAGAAGCCGAAAGATGATGTTCCGCCACCTGTTAAGGCTGAATCGCCAAGCAAAAAGCCCTCGAGTCCGTCCTGAGCCAAATAGAAAAGAAATTCACGTTTCTGAATCCAGAGCAAGCCCTCCGACGCCGACCAAAGGTGCATCCCCTTCTTCTACTCCTGTCACAGAAAAAGTCTTGTCCAAAAAGTAGCGCAAGCCTAAGCCTTCGCCAGACGAATCTAACCGAGGACCCTAAGGCGTCAACGAAGACCAATGTGTAGCCTTAATTATCGTTCGGGTTGACCTACATTAATCCAGCAAATAAACCAGAAAACAAAATTCACTGAAAGAACATATTTATAAAACTTTACTCCTAATATAAAAAACTTTCGGAGGAGAAGGCAGCTTTCGCCTCCTGCCACTCCCGGTGCCCTCAATACTTCCAGAAGTTGGGATTTTGTTCCATTCGCCGCTGGAAGTTCGTATACCAATTCTGAACGACGGCAAAGGGAACAAAGGTTTCGCTTGTACTGGGCGGTATGTCCCTGGCCGCCACTCCGAAGCTGGAGGCGTAGTTGAAAAAATTCTCCAACATCCGCTGGCCGAATTGTTTGTTGTCGTTCGCACTGGACTGCAAAAACAGGAGTATCGGTTAATATTATCTAAGTTCTGCCTACCGCTTAGGTAATCCCATGAAGAACTCACCACCGCCGGCGTCTGCTGCGCCACCGTCAGTTCCGGCTCGAGGGAGACGCCGATCTGGGCGATGTGCGAGATCTCCTGGCTGCCAAAGACCATCCCATGGGCCTGCGCCTCCAGCTCGTGGCTCTTCTTCAGCTGGGCGATCTTGAAGATGGCGGAGGGCTTGTTGTTGTTGATGTGACCCAGATACTGCCATGTGGGCGCCGCATTCGCGTCCGGCCAGCTGAAGTATATGGCGGCAGCGGTGCCCACGGGCAGCGGCGAGACGCCGGTAAGGAATACTACCAGGTAGTTGACGGTGTCGATGTCTGGCACATTGATCAGCAGCTTGGTGGCGTCCACGGCCACGAAATCTGATTGCGGCAGGCGTCCTGAGATAATCAGTCCAAAGAGGGACATCCTTAATATTTGTTCTATCACGTTTTGTGTGTGGATATTTCAAGTTTTCACCAAACGGTCACACCGAACCAGTGTTGCCAAGTTAGACGTTGCCGTCTTTTTTTTTTTTATTTTTTTTTTGTTTCGATGTCAATGTGCAAAAAATAACAAAAAACCGAGAACGCCAACAACATTTAAAAGGCTTGTGGATGCATCTAAAGACGCAATAAAATGGGATAACATAAAAAAATATAAATTTAATACCATTTATTTTCATTAGCTATTTTTTAGCTGCCCTTTAAATTCCGCCTAGATTTTTCCAATTATAATTCTTGGCAACACTGGCGCACACACACAAACAAAACACACCAAACAGCTGGCGGCGCAGAAGACTCCGTAGCAAAAACACGGGAAGAAGGGACGAAAGAAGAGGGACTTTTATTTTGATTTCGTTGGCCAAATTGAGTAATGGCCGGACTCCTTCACCTGACCAAAAAGTGCAGCCTCCACCTACCAATCTACTACGGACGCGTGAAATGCAACACCGCTGCTAAGGGAGCACACGTGCAGGCGAGAGTGGTGAGTAGCACTTCTCCCGTTTCAAGGCCACGCGCCGAGCGCAGAGTCACTATCTAGACTAGATTGCTATTTCGTAATTACGCGTAAATGCCTGATGAATTGGCGGTTTAAATGATGACTGGGACAAGCGGAGGCGGAAGCGGTCAGGCAGCAGTCTGCGTGTGTGTTGTTTTGGCCCATTTTCCGAGCTAAATCCCGAATTAATGCACCACAACCACCCTTGCTTCTTTACTTGCAGCAAGCGTAGAGCGAAGAACTAGAGACGGGCAAAACAGCACACACGCAGCAGGTCAGGGATCAGGCACAATGGGTCGTACTCAGCGTCGTCGTCACAGCCAGCTCCACAGCAGGGACAAGAACCACAGGGACTCCAGCTCCTTGCAGGCTCTGTACGTTGACCTCCACTCCCGGGTTGGCAGAACTCTACGCACCTTTCGGCTTGCAACTTTGCACAAACGGGCAGGGGACTGTGCTCGAAGCGGGCGAATTTTGCCTCTGAGGATGAGCTGATACGTCTGCCTGTGGACTGCCTCATAAGTATAGCCAACCTAGAATCCGATGAAACTTTTAAGGAGCTATTCAACAAGGAGCTCTTTGACAAGGACGCCAGGATCTCCTTTCAGGCCCTTATAGCCTGCTATCTTATGTACCAAAAGCACCTACAAGACTGCTCAAACAGCTCAGCCTACACCGCCTACTTAAATACGCTGCCTGTGAGTTACTCCACACCCTATTTCTGCTCCATTCCCGAGTTACAGTGCCTGCCCGAAACGGTCCTGGAACGAACAGTGGCCCAGAACCGGCAGATAAAAGAATACTACGGAATAATCAAAAGTCTGGTGGGTTCCTTGAGCTGCCAGTGTTGTGACCAAAGCTACTGCCAGGAGATTTGGACCCTGTCTGATTACCGGTTGGCATACTTTGCCGTAAACACCCGCAGTGTATATCTTAGTGCCAGGTTTCTGAAGAAACAGAGCAGCCACTTTCAAGGCTTACTCAGCGGAGACACCAACTTGGCATTAGCTCCCTTTCTGGACCTTTTCAACCACTCGGATGCCGTGCAGACCACCGCTGAGATACAGGCTAAGGACTACGTGGTCACCTTAAAGTCCCTGCCTCTGAGTGAGATCAAACCCTACAAGCAGTTGTTCATCAGCTACGGCGCTCTGCCCAACTTTAAACTCCTGACTGAGTACGGGTTTTGGCTTAAGGGCAATGCCCACGACTACTTTGAGTTCTCCCTGCTGGACATCGAGCATATGATCAAGCACCGCAAAGAGCTGTACTCGCAGACCTTTCACCGCAACATCTTTAAGTTCATAAGGGAGCATAATCTATCCGATCAGATGTTCGTCCACCTTGGGGACGGATGCTCCCACAATTTACGGGTGGTGCTGCACCTGATTTTCAAGCAGCAGGCCTACTTTCCCAACATACTCAACCAGATTGCCTTTGGCGATGCCGATCAGTTCGAAGACGTTCAGCCGGAGCTGACGTATCTTGTAAAGTACAAGGTGCAGGAGTACGAGATCTTTATCGGAGAGCTGGATAAACTTCCCGAGCTGACGGAGAGTGGATCTATTGCGCGATCTTATTTGCAAGAGTGTATTCGTTACCTGGGCGACTTTGAAGCTATGCATTTCTGACTAAGGGAACCTAAGATAAGTTTAAATTTGGAGCAGAGTGGAGAGTACTTTCTCAGGGATACTTTTGTACTCTTATAAGAATTGAAATGTCATCATTTTTAAATAATTGATAGGTCATAAGTTATTTCTACTTAGTTTTGCTGAGCATAACCGTTATCGAGTTGAGTTCTTTTATACTAATGAAATGAAATGAATATATTTCTAAAACGATATGAGTCAAAATGTTAACGGCTTTTATAATAAATCCCTACAAAGCCCTAACCTCCATTCCGTGTTCATTTGATCCAAAATTGTACACCTTTTTCAGCTATACTCTTCGCTAGCCAAGAGTGATGACCAATCTGCCAGCAACGATGGCAAACGGAAAAAGATCACACCCTTTACGCCGACACCGGGAAGCAAGCTGCTGGGCGGAGTGTTCGGCAAAAAAGCCAAAGGTAAGGTGCCCGTCCAGCCTCCAGTGTTTCCCAGATGCCTAACCGATGTCGGAATATGCGTAATTAACCCAGCACCCACTCACTTCGATACAGTTTATTGTTTAGTAATAGCTTCTCACGCTTTTTACGATTGACTAACCCCAGACAATTGAGTTACCTTACCCCCAAAAAGTTGTTTGTTTGTTCGTTTGTTTGTGCGCTTGTTGTGTGTTGAGCGCCTGTCTGAATTTGGCTGCATCCAAGTGGATTCAATGCAGGTGGAGCACCAGCAACATCAACGACAGCAACGCTACAGCGGCAGCACCCACAACGACAACAATTACGACTATGTCACGTTCATATAGGAAGCGGCAGCGGCGATGGCAGCTCAGGACTGGGGAAGTTGGACGCACCGGAGGTCACCTCCAAGGATATGCTACGCGCCATGATGGCCTATATTTGGCCGAAGGAGGATCCTCTAGTGCGAAAGCGGTGAGTAATGGAGAAGTCCAGATCCAAGGTGCTGAATAATACCTGTTCTCGATTTTATAGAGTGGGCATCTCTTTGGGTCTGCTGGCAGGCTCTAAGCTGCTGACCGTCTGCGTTCCATTTATGTTTAAGGGAGCAATAGACACCATGACCACCCTGAACATGGACACCGCACCGGATGCAGTGCTCTCGGCAGCCACTGCCCTGCTGCTCGGATGTAAGATGGTGAATTATGGATACTCCAAGTATATATAATAATGAATCTCCCCCAGATGGCATCGCCCGCGCTAGTGCCGCGGGCTTCAATGAGCTGCGTAATGCGGTGTTCGCCAAGGTGGCCCACCATTCAATCCGTAAGATTGCCAGCAATGTGTTCCTGCATCTCCACAATCTGGATCTGGCCTTCCATCTGAACAAACAGACCGGCGCCTTGTCGAAGACCATAGACCGAGGCTCTAGGGGCATCAACTTTGTACTCTCCGCCATGGTCTTTAACATCGTGCCTACGATCTTCGAGCTAGCGCTCGTGTCCAGCATTTTGGGTGTGAAGTGCGGCCTGGCTTTCGCCGGTGTTAGCATGGGCTGCGTGGGCATCTACGCCTTGTATACGTTGAGTGTGACCCAGTGGAGGACCCAGTTTCGGGTGTACATGAACCAGGCCGAGAACGAGGCCGGAAACAAGGCGGTGGACTCCCTGATCAACTACGAGACAGTGAAGTACTTCAATAATGAGAAGTACGAGGCAGGCTGCTACAATGAGGTGCTGAAAAAGTACGAGACGGCCAGCCTTAAAACCAGCTCCAGCTTGGCACTTCTCAATTTTGGACAAAACGCCATCTTCAGCAGTGCCCTCAGTCTGATCATGGTTCTGGCAGCCAAGGAGATCGCCCAGGGCAACATGACGGTGGGCGACTTGGTGATGGTCAATGGCCTACTCTTCCAGTTGTCGATCCCCCTCGGCTTCCTGGGCAGTGTGTATCGCGAGGTGCGGCAGGCGCTACTGGATATGCAAGCCATGTTCACGTTGATGAATGTTGACAGTCGCATCCAGACTGCGCCCAATGCCCAACCCCTGTTCGTGGACAACAGCAATTCGTCTATTGAGTTCCGCAACGTGAGCTTCGAGTACGAGCCGGGTAAGCCGATTTTCCGTGACCTCTCGTTCACTATTCCCGCCGGCAAGAACGTGGCCATAGTTGGGGGCTCTGGCTCTGGAAAATCTTCAATGGTTCGTCTCCTGTTCCGGTTCTTTGAACCGAACTCTGGCAAGGTTCTTATCGGCGGCCAAGACATCAGCGCCGTGGACCTGGAGAGTTTGCGCAAAGCTATCGCTGTGGTGCCACAGGACTCAGTGCTCTTCCACAACACCATCGAGCACAATATCCATTACGGCAACCTGACAAAATCGCATGCCGATGTGCAAAACGCGGCTCGTATGGCAGATCTGCATGACTCTATCATGTCCTGGCCGGCTCAGTACGGTACGCAGGTGGGCGAGCGGGGACTGAAGCTCTCTGGTGGCGAGAAACAGCGCGTGGCTATAGCCCGAGCTATTCTCAAGAACACACCCATCCTGATCTTTGACGAGGCAACCAGCAGTCTGGACTCCATTACGGAGCATGTGAGTGTGGATTCTGCATAAAGAGGTGTATGATAATATTATAAGCCTTTTTCGTTTTGTTTCCACAGAACATTCTGCAAGCATTGACCCGTGCTACCTCCGGTCGGACTAGCATTTGCATTGCCCACCGCCTGTCCACTGTCAAGGACGCCGATGAAATCCTGGTGCTGGAAAACGGACGGGTGGGCGAGCGCGGCACCCATGCGCAACTGCTGACGCAGAACGGTCTGTATGCGCGCCTCTGGGAGACGCAGACTCAGCAATTTGATCCAAGTAAAGAGTCCAGGGATGAGACGATAGCCGGTGCGGCATAGGCTTGGTCCCATACCTCCTATATGTATGTTTGTTCCGACGTTAAACCAACCCCATTCGATCGTCCCTAATCTGTCCCCCAACCCTTACTCCCGTAACCCATTAAGTATCATTGTGGCGTTTGTAAATACAGTTGTAGATATGCGATAGGAGAAAGAACATATTTAAAAGGGATGCTGCGGTACAACATGGAACATTTATTATCAGTTCTATCACTCAAAACATTCTACGGCTATGTTGGAGATTGTGGCCTCCATCTTATCATATTCTCAATCTCTCTCCCTCACGGCCAATGGAATGGGGACATCGTAGAGCAAGTACAAAAGGCAGTTGGCAATGTGGCCTAGGAACTGGTGGTAGTTGATCACCCGCTGCTGGAACTCCTGCCACAACGGCAGGACGGATCGATCTTTTGCCAACGAACCCGGGTCGTCTATCGTGATGCCCTGCTCCATCATGGTTTTGTTAGTGTACGTGAACAGATAGGACGCTGGCCGCTGGCCAATGGTGGTCACTAGGTGGGTAATGTTGCTCTCCAGACCGATACTCTTGCCGGCTGTAAGGAAATAGGCTTCCGGATCCATCTCGTTCCGATATCGCACGTTGCCCTCTAGAATGGTCAGCGTGCAATTTATGAGATCCGGCGAGATGAAGTTAGTGAGTGTTAGACCAGGGAAGTCAGCCACGAAGATGACGTCGGAATAGTTGTTCCATGCCAGCACCTCAGTCTCGATCGTCCGAAGCTTGGGCCTCATGTGATTCAGTTCAGTGAGCAGGGGTAGCGACCAGGAGGTGCTTTCAAAGGGCGACCACTTGGCCTTGAGGAGATCCACACGCGGATCAAAGGAACGCTGTTGAAAGCGGCCGTTCATGGAACACCAGATGTCAAAGTAGACGGAGATGTTGTTGCTAATAGCTGCCGGCTGACCCACACGGAGATTCTCCTCGATGCATTTGGCATACTGCACCGCCATGTCGGCGTACTTGGTCCAGCGATCGTACTCCGTAAAGGCGTAGGGGTTCAGGTTATGCACCTGTCGGCTCTCATTGTCCACCACCTGAATGGAGGTCTGCAGGGTGTCGTACGAGTGGACCATCATATCCCAGGAGTAGCCGTATAGGCCATTCGTCCAATTATTGTAGCCCTTGGTAATGAAGTGGGAGTAGGGCAGAAAGAGCTGCAGTGCGCAGTATCCGAGGATGAGGCAGGTGCGCAGCCTGGCCAGAATTCCTGGCTGCTTGATCGCCTCTGTTGAGGGCTGGGTGGGCAGAAGTGGCTTTGATTCACCACCCCATATCCTCCGTGGCCAGTCGGGGCTGAAGAAGAGCGGCACCTCGGCCAAGCACACCCATGGAAACATACCTAAAGATAGATTTCGAATGGTTTCAATTGATTCATTTTTGGACACTCACTCACCAATCACAAATAGCCGGGAGTTCATCAGATGGAAACTGAGCATAAAGGGGGTGACCAGCAGGCGCGTCCTCTCCATAGTCATAAAGAAGGCGATGGACAGATCGAAAACGGCGGTGAACCAGTGAACGATCAGCAGGTCGATCGTCTCCGAGTCTAGCATCTGGCGGAACGGTGTGAAGAGCCAATGGTGGCTGAGGTTGGACATGGCGTATCCCGAGAGCCACTCGACGGAGAACTTCTTCAGCCCCGCGTACAAGTACAGCACGAAGAACTGGAACTTGATGAGGAAGTAGTTCCAGTAGGGAATGTATTGACTCCTCCTTCGCGGATGAAGCCAGCTCTCCAGGGAGCTAAAGGATAAAACAACATTAGGATTTTAACGAATTCAGAGTGTTCCGCTCTCCAGACCAGTAAGACTCTGCCTGGGTGAAGAGCAGCAGCGTGCCCGCTAGCCCGAACAGGTAACTATGGTTGTTCCACGTTGGCTTGTCCAGCAGGAATATGTACCAGTATGGCACCAGGAAGGCCACACAGCTCGCCCGGAATCGAAAGCCCAGCGTGATGCCCCAGGCCCCCAGCCACATGCACAGGTAGACGCAGCCCATCAACGGATATGGCAGAGCACCAATCTCGTTAAAGAGTGGAAAGTGACAGTGATGTGGTTCGCCAAACCGTACATCCAGCTGGCCACCGCCTCGCTCCTCCGCTATATCGATAAGCATAGCAGCGCCGTAGAGCATCCGAAAGATGCCCAGAGCGGCTCCATCCACGGGTCTCTGCAGCCACAAGGTAAAACGGGACAAGCTGATGAAGTTGCTCAACTCATGGCCCATACAATCGCGAAAGAATTGCCCAAGCATTGAGCAATCCCTTGCTACGAGAGAAACTTTCTCGGTGACAGACTTTTCCGTTCGACTGTCCTTTGTCGCTGTAGCATTCTCCAGAGAAGTAGCTTTCGCGATCAACTTGCGTTTGGAGTTGGCCATTCTGGAAGTAGCTCTGAAAAGTAAAAGATTGCTTTAGAGGATACGCAAGGTAATTTTTAAGTTAAAAAATTTCATAACTCGGCCAAAAATGCATTAATTTCCATTAGGAAAGCATTCTTTTGTTTTTCTTTATTAGGTTAATAAATCTGTAATTTTTTAGCTTAATTATGATGTTTTGAAAAACACTGATTATTTAAAAAAATTGCCGGCTTTTATACCTTTTTGCGTGGTATTATAAGTCAAAATCTTATACCGGCAAACGCAGTATGCATTTGTTAGCGCCTTACAAATTAGCACATAACAGCTGTCCGAATTGAAATTAACGCATTTTTGGGTTAGTTATGATGTTTGCAAAACACTGAATTTTTACAAAAATTCACTGTTTTTATACCTTTTTGCTGGGTCTTAGTATTATTCAGAAGCTTAAAACACAATGAAGGAATCATTCCCGACCCTTTAAATTATATATATTATTGTTCAGAATGAACAACTGAATCGATCTAGCCATGTCTAGTGGCAAAATAAATGTTTGGAATTTTTTCCGAAATTTGAAAAAAACATAAGGGGTTACACCATTAAAATTTGCTAAATTCGAACAAAAATTGAATTTTTTAAATTTAAAAACGCAGTAGGCAGATTTGTTAGCGCTATAAAAATTAGCACAGAACAGCTTTCCGAATTGAAATTAACGCATTTTTGGCTTAGTTATGATGTTTGCAAAACACTGAATTTTTACAAAAATTGCCTGTTTTTATACCTTCTTTCTGGTTATTATAATTTCAGACCGAAGCTTTTAACAGCATCAATAAAACGCAGTATGCAGATTTGTTAGCGCTATAAAAATTAGCACAGAACGGCTTTCCGAATTGAAATTAACGCATTTTTGGCTTAGTTATGATGTTTGCAAAACACTGAATTTTTACAAAAATTGACTGTTTTTATACCTTTTTTCTGGTTATTATAATTTCAGTCCGAAGCTTTAACAGCATCAACAAACGTAGTATGCAGATTTATTAGCGCTATAAAGACTAGCACAGAACAGCTTTCCGAATTGAAATTAACGCATTATTGGCATAATTATGATGTTTGCAAAACACTTAATTTTTACAAAAATTGACTGTTTTTATACCTTTTTGCTGGGTCTTAGTATTATTCAGAAGCTTAAAACACAATGAAGGAATCATTCCCGACCCTATAAATCATATATATTATTGTTCAGAATGAACAACTGAATCGATCTAGCCATGTCTAGTGGCAAAATAAATGTTTGCATTTTTTTCCGAAATTTGAAAAAAACATAAGGGGTTACATCATTAAAATTTGCTAAATTCGACCAAAAATTGAATTTTTTAAATTTCAAAACGCAGTATGCAGATTTGTTAGCGCTATAAAAATTAGCACAGAACGTCTTTCCGAATTCAAATTAACGCATTATTGGCATAATTATGATGTTTGCAAAACACTGAATTTTTACAAAAATTGCAGGCTTTTATACCTTTTTGCTGGGTCTTAGTATTAATCAGAAGCTTAAAACACAATGAAGGAATCATTTCCGACCCTATAAATCATATATATTATTGTTCAGAATGAACAACTGAATCGATCTAGCCATGTCTAGTGGCAAAATAAATGTTTTCATTTTTTCCCGAAATTTGAAAAAACATAAGGGGTTACATCATTAAAATTTGCTAAATTCGACCAAAAATCGAATTTTTTAAATTTCAAAACGCAGTATGCAGATTTGTTAGCGCTATAAAAATTAGCACAGAACAGCTTTCCGAATTGAAATTAACGCATTTTTGGCTTAGTTATGATGTTTGCAAAACACTGAATTTTTACAAATATTGACTGTTTTTATACCTTTTTTCTGGTTATTATAATTTCAGTCCGAAGCTTTTAACAGCATCAACAAACGCAGTATGCAGATTTGTTAGCGCTATAAAGACTAGCACAGAACAGCTTTCCGAATTGAAATTAACGCATTATTGGCATAATTATGATGTTTGCAAAACACTGAATTTTTACAAAAATTGCAGGCTTTTATACCTTTTTGCTGGGTCTTAGTATTAATCAGAAGCTTAAAACACAATGAAGGAATCATTTCCGACCCTATAAATCATATATATTATTGTTCAGAATGAACAACTGAATCGATCTAGCCATGTCTAGTGGCAAAATAAATGTTTGCATTTTTTTCCGAAATTTGAAAAAAACATAAGGGGTTACATCATTAAAATTTGCTAAATTCGACCAAAAATCGAATTTTTTAAATTTCAAAACGCAGTATGCAGATTTGTTAGCGCTATAAAAATTAGCACAGAACAGCTTTCCGAATTGAAATTAACGCATTTTTGGCTTAGTTATAATGTTTGCAAAACACTGAATTTTTACAAAAATTGCCTGTTTTTAAACCTTTTTTCTGGTTATTATAATTTCAGTCCGAAGCTTTTAACAGCATCAACAAACGCAGTATGCAGATTTGTTAGCGCTATAAAAATTAGCACAGAACAGCTTTCCGAATTGAAATTAACGCATTTTTGGCTTAGTTATGATGTTTGCAAAACACTGAATTTTTACAAAAATTGCCTGTTTTTATACCTTTTTTCTGGTTATTATAATTTCAGTCCGAAGCTTTTAACAGCATCAACAAACGCAGTATGCAGATTTGTTAGCGCTATAAAGACTAGCACAGAACAGCTTTCCGAATTGAAATTAACGCATTATTGGCATAATTATGATGTTTGCAAAACACTGAATTTTTACAAAAATTGCCGGCTTTTATACCTTTTTGCTGGGTCTTAGTATTAATCAGAAGCTTAAAACACAATGAAGGAATCATTTCCGACCCTATAAATCATATATATTATTGTTCAGAATGAACAACTGAATCGATCTAGCCATGTCTAGTGGCAAAATAAATGTTTGCATTTTTTTCCGAAATTTGAAAAAAACATAAGGGGTTACATCATTAAAATTTGCTAAATTCGACCAAAAATCGAATTTTTTAAATTTCAAAACGCAGTATGCAGATTTGTTAGCGCTATAAAAATTAGCACAGAACAGCTTTCCGAATTGAAATTAACGCATTTTTGGCTTAGTTATGATGTTTGCAAAACACTGAATTTTTACAAAATTGCCTGTTTTTATACCTTTTTTCTGGTTATTATAATTTCAGTCCAAAGCTTTTAACAGCATCAACAAACGCAGTAAGCAGATTTGTTAGCGCTATAAAGACTAGCACAGAACAGCTTTCCGAATTGAAATTAACGCATTATTGGCATAATTATGATGTTTGCAAAACACTGAATTTTTACAAAAATTGCCGGCTTTTATACCTTTTTTCTGGTTATTATAATTTCAGTGCGAAGCTTTTAACAGCATCAACAAACGCAGTATGCAGATTTGTTAGCGCTATAAAGACTAGCACAGAACAGCTTTCCGAATTGAAATTAACGCATTGATGGCATAATTATGATGTATGCAAAACACTGAATTTTACAAAAATTGCCGGCTTTTATACCTTTTTGCTGGGTCTTAGTATTAATCAGAAGCTTAAAACACAATGAAGGAATCATTTCCGACCCTATAAATCATATATATTATTGTTCAGAATGAACAACTGAATCGATCTAGCTATGTCTAGTGGCAAAATAAATGTTTGCATTTTTTCCGATATTTGAAAAAACATAAGGGGTTACATCATTAAAATTTGCTAAATTCGACCAAAAATCGAATTTTTAAATTTCAAAACGCAGTAGGCAGATTTGTTAGCGCTATAAAAATTAGCACAGAACAGCTTTCCGAATTGAAGTTAACGCATTTTTGGCTTAGTTATGATGTTTGCAAAACACTGAATTTTTACAAAAATTGCCTGTTTTTATACCTTTTTTCTGGTTATTATAATTTCAGTCCGAAGCTTTTACAGCATCAACAAACGCAGTATGCAGATTTGTTAGCGCTATAAAGACTAGCACAGAACAGCTTTCCGAATTGAAATTAACGCATTATTGGCATAATTATGATGTTTGCAAAACACTGAATTTTTACAAAAATTGCCGGCTTTTATACCTTTTTGCTGGGTCTTAGTATTAATCAGAAGCTTAAAACACAATGAAGGAATCATTTCCGACCCTATAAATCATATATATTATTGTTCAGAATGAACAACTGAATCGATCTAGCCATGTCTAGTGGCAAAATAAATGTTTGCATTTTTTTCCGAAATTTGAAAAAAACATAAGGGGTTACATCATTAAAAGTTGCTAAATTCGACCAAAAATCGAATTTTTTAAATTTCAAAACGCAGTATGCAGATTTGTTAGCGCTATAAAAATTAGCACAGAACAGCTTTCCGAATTGAAATTAACGCATTTTTGGCTTAGTTATGATGTTTGCAAAACACTGAATTTTTACAAAAATTGCCTGTTTTTATACCTTCTTTCTGGTTATTATAATTTCAGTCCGAAGCTTTTACAGCATCAACAAACGCAGTATGCAGATTTGTTAGCGCTATAAAAATTAGCACAGAACAGCTTTCCGAATTGAAATTAACGCATTTTTGGCTTAGTTATGATGTTTGCAAAACACTGAATTTTTACAAAAATTGCCTGTTTTTATACCTTTTTTCTGGTTATTATAATTTCAGTCCGAAGCTTTTAACAGCATCAACAAACGCAGTATGCAGATTTGTTAGCGCTATAAAGACTAGCACAGAACAGCTCTCCGAATTGAAATTAACGCATTATTGGCATAATTATGATGTTTGCAAAACACTGAATTTTTACAAAAATTGCCGGCTTTTATACCTTTTTGCTGGGTCTTAGTATTAATCAGAAGCTTAAAACACAATGAAGGAATCATTTCCGACCCTATAAATCATATATATTATTGTTCAGAATGAACAACTGAATCGATCTAGCCATGTCTAGTGGCAAAATAAATGTTTGCATTTTTTTCCGAAATTTGAAAAAAACATAAGGGGTTACATCATTAAAATTTGC